TTTACTGTAGTCGAAGTCGTTGAGTCCTCGAACTGTATCTGTGAAGTCGGCGGGAGAAAAGTATGTACATCAGACTGTGGAACAGCGGAACCACTTGAATTTGATGAACGTGGAAGGGAAACTAAATATGTGTTATGTTGGGACTGCATTGGAAAATAATTTTGTGCTGGTGTTCCATGTATCTCTTTCGATGCCTCTTCTCGGACCTCCATAACAATGTCAAAGATCTTTCGTTGGACTTTTATTTGCAAATATTCTGACAAATCGTTAGTATAGGCGTACATACTATCAAAAAACTTCTTTAATGCTGTGTCTTCCTTTGGCTTCACATTTTTTTCTTGACTAAGTAATTCTTTTCTAAACAAGTTTCTCTCATTCGATCTTTGAATTCTCCTTTTTTGTTCTTGTTCAAAATATTCAGTGATTTTATCAATTTTTCTTTTAGGTCGCGGTGTATTATAATGGGTTGCTTCCTGCGATTCATTATTTGTTGCCACTTCAAAATTTTCTTCTGTCTGTGTATTTCCAAGAGTGTCAACAGTTTCATTAGTATCTGTTTCTATATCTTGAGTAGCGGATGAAGCGTTGGTGTCCCTTCTTCGATTTGTTAAGTGTGGTAGTATAAATTCCATTTGTTTTTCATATTTCCAGACTCTACTGTCACTACTTGCTGCTTGCCCTGTTGTAGTTTTTTTTTTATTCAAAGCTTGTCTATGACCATCTCGCAGTTTCTTCCACATACATTTGGCTTCTTTAACTGAAATAAAATAAACAATTATGTATTTTTTTTGCAGGTGTCTAGCTACGGGGGACACATTCAGATCAATGGCTTATAGTTATAGGATGGGGGAGAGAACAGTTTCAGAAATCGTAGAAGAGGTCTGTGATGCATTGTGGACTCACCTTAGACCCCGGGTTCTTGCAGAGCCCACCACTAGTGATTGGAAAAAAATTGCAAAAGATTTTAAGGACAACTGCCAGTTTGATCATTGCCTCGGTGCAATTGACGGCAAACATGTTACTATAAAAGCACCTCCTAAGTCTGGATCTAATTTTTTTAATTACAAAAAAACATTTTCTATTGTTTTGTTGGCAGTTGCTGATTCAAGCCGAAAATTTGTTTATGTTGATGTAGGATCTATGGGAAGATTTAGTGACAGTGGTATTTTAAACGATAGTGTATTTGGAAAAAAACTCAAAAATGGAAGCTTGAACTTGCCACATGATAAGCCTCTATATCCAGGCGGAGTAGAAATGCCATACGTTTTTGTAGGGGATGAAGCGTTTCCGTTGATGAACAATTTACTGCGTGCATATCCGCAATCGAGGTTATCGGAGTCCAGAAGAGTGTTTAATTATCGGCTATGCAGAGCACGCAGAGTAGTAGAAAATGCCTTCGGTATATTGGCGGCTCGATTTAGAATATTTAGAAGACCCTTTGAGTGCCGCCTTGAACTAGTTGATAAAATGGTTAAAGCCGCATGCGTTTTACACAACTATTTAATCAAATGTAATTTGTATTCAATGAATGAAGACGAAATTGAAGATCTAGATGACAGTCAACTGACGCCCTTGGCTCATTCTGGATGTAGATACTCCGACGAAAGTTTTTTAGTAAGGGAAGAATTCTGTAGATACTTTAACCATATTGGAACCGTTCCTTGGCAAATGATGCGTATACAAAATAGACTATTTCCATTATAATTAGATATTATGCATGTTAGGAGAATAAAAATTGTCTTTCAAAATATTTCAACACTCTGTATAATAGAAAGAAAGCCATTTAGGACATGTTTATAAGAACTTTTTGTCATAAAATTAAGTAAGTAATAACAGCCTAAACTTTGGCTATAGTATATATATATATATATATATATATATATATATATATATATATATATATATATATATATATATATATATATATATATATATATATATATATATAGGCCTTTATTTAAAAAGTAGGGGTATTTAGAAGAATATACGTGACATATTTAAATAAAACTAAATGGGAGCAAAACATACCGTCTGGTATATCGCATTCAGCTATGATATTTCTCCAAGCTGCTTCCTTAAGTTCATTGTTTTTGTAGGCATTGGTATCCACTTTCCATAGACATGGATATTTTCTCACACTTTCTATGAAATGTTCCATATTCTTCACAAAAATAGCAACTAATTTTACAACCTACTAAAACCTAACCTACAAAATCTATTTTTCAAATCACGTAAAACGCACGCCACGCACCTATTTGCTTTCTTCGCGGGCACCGCAACGCAAAGAGGGGAAATATATATCCTAAAAATCGCTCGGAAAGCATATTCGTTCATTTATGAAATATATCGCCCAATATCGCCGGGATATAGATATATATTATAGCATCAATGCGCTGCGACCTGCACTTTTTAATGCAAAGCGATATTTTTAAAATATGTGAGCTATAATATATATTATATTATCGCTCATCGTCCGTCGCCGGCTTTATTGTTGTTTCATTATTTCTGTTAATGTAATGTTTAAATTTTGCGTAATCTTCGATTACTGTGTTTGAACTTTTACAAATATGAAAAGTATTTTTAAATCGAAAGAAAAACGTTCGAAATTTTCACAATTCCAAACCTAACCTACAACCGAAACTGACAGTTTATAAATGCAAAAATATTGAACCTCAACTGCCGCGAACATCCAACTGAAACTGAACCTCAACTGAATGCCAACTCCCGAGTTTATAAATCCAGCTTAAGTGTTGTGAAAGGCGACAAAAATGCTAGGGCACGAAATTTCTGCCTTCGTTAGGGCCTGAATTATCGCTTTGCATGAAGAAGGTTTCAGCAGGCATCAAATTGCTGATCGTTTAAATTTAGTGCGAAGTACTGTAAGCCAAATTATACAACAGTATGTGGACACCGGAAATATAAGATCTCGTCCTAGGTTGGGCCGTACAAGGGTAACGACTAAACGACAGGATCGCTACTTGGCTCAATTTGCCAGAAGAAATCGGTCAGTTCCAATTCGAGAGCTACGATCTCAGTTTCAACGAACTTACCACCGAGTGATATCAAGCCGAACCATTTCCAGGCGACTTTCTGGATTGCGGCGTAGACGTCCACTGCGAGTCCCTCTATTAACGTTACACCATAGGCAAAGGAGGCTACGGTGGGTTAGAGAACACCAGAACTGGTTATTACTTCAGTGGAGAAACGTAATTTTCATTGATGAAACCAGGATAGGTTTGATCAGTGATGACTATCGTCAGCGAGTGTGGAGGGAGGCAGGGAGGCAGCATCGCTTGAATACAGCCCTTACTGTTGTTCCTTATCAAGGAGGAACTGAGATGTTCAGGGGTAGAATTATATACAATAGGCGAACAGAGCTCATTCATATTCCTGAGGTGATGAACGCCCATTTGTATATGGAAACTGTAATCAGACCAATAATTTATCCACTGCGAGAAGAAATCGGCAATAATTTTATTCTCATGGATGATAACGCTCGTCCTCACAGAGCTAGGATGGTGCAGGAAGCATTAAATGAAGGGGAAATAACTCGTCTGGACTGGCCTCCACTCTCCCCGGACATGAATCCTATTGAGCATGTCTGGGAATTCATCACCAGAGCTGTATTTCGCAGAAATAACCCACTAAGAATCGCCAGGAGTTGATCATTGCCGCTCAAGAGGAATGGCAGAACTTACCTCAAGAAACCATAAACAACCTTATAATGGGGATGCCCCGACGACTTGATGCACTAATAACAAATCGAGGAGGCAATACTTTATATTAGTAACCTTAATTTTGTCAGAATTTATTATTTATTTATTTATTTTCTTTTTTTTGTCAAACATTTTTCTTTATGGAATTTGCATTTTTTTTTTTGTATTTTGGCAAAATATATTATTAAACTTGGTGAAAGTTTTTCCTTTGTTATTTTTTTAACATAACCTTAGCATCTATTGATTTCCACGAAAAATTAATTTGGAATGTATTTTTTTTAAATAGTAAGGGGGTGCAAGACTTTTGCCGATGAGTTTATAATAAATTTGGGAAAGTTCAACAGAAACTGTTGTATCATCATTTTTTCGCAGAAAAATTTATGATTAATTTAAAAAAAATAAAACTTTCCCAAATTTATTATTTCAGTCAAATAACTATCTACTTAACGTGTATATTTTTTGTCACTAATGACATGTATTGAGTACTTCCATTCTAAATAACTTGAGAGTGGTTGCTCGTAGCGATTTTTACCAAGAGACATTTTTTACGAAGAAAGTCAAGGAAATGTATATTTTTTCTCTCAGTAGTTTTATACAGGTACGGAAGAAAAGTTATTATTCTTCAAAACAGTTAACACATGTATAGCGCCCCCTACAAGTAGGATATTGACATCGAAATCAAATTTCTCATGTTAAAAAACTCTCAGACGCCAATATTATTTTCCAAACGTATTAGAAAGAGAAAACGATAACATTGAAAATGTTTTGCATATGTTCTTTTACCTCAGTTGAGACGTTAAAAAATTCTTCAAAATTGATGTCGATTTGTTTTATTCTTTAATTATTCTCACTTTCCCCAGAAAGATTGATACACGTTTAGATAGGTATGCTATGCTATCATTCTCACCTTACCGGTTTTATCATTCTCACTCACTCCGGTTACCCGGAAAACTGGGAACATATTCCATTAAAAAAAAATGTTTATTTTTGCAAAAAAAGTTAGTCAACTCAAGGTATGGGGCTGTGGATTATGTCTCTAAATCAATACAAAACCCAAATTTGAAATTTAAAATTATTGAACAAATTTCTGTTTCCAAATCTGTTTCCAAAAAAAAAAACGTTCCTTCTTACCCCATCTCATCTTAGATGTTTAAATGTTGATTAATTTAGTTTAAACATGACTAATTTTCTCTTTCCCATGATGTTTTCCTACAAATTTTGTTAAGTCAAAGTAGAACAAGAAATTCGATGTTTTGTTAATACAATATTTTTCTTTTGTTTCAGATATTATGGACAGCCTTATCTGTAGCTTTAGGTTTAGAATTAAGAGGTGAATATATCCGTGGAGTTCCTTGTATAAAAAGACATCAACAGTTGTATTGTCCGACAGCTGGAAATTCTTACCCACTGTAAGTATATCTTATATTTAATTATTCAATGTTCTTTTTACAACCTTTTACTTTCTACGGTCATTCATTACAAGATATACCGGGTGTTGCCTCGTCGGACGGGACATAGGAAATCCCATGTTAATATTAAAGGGGTCAATTATTGGCTTCCCTAATTATTTTAGAGAATAATTCTATTTAGGTTTATTGAAGAGCACTAAAACCCACATTCAAAAGAACAACTTTAGATATTTTTGATTAGCTCGTTTACGAGTTATCGCCGATTTCTTTTTAAATATTTCTCCTTTCTTATGACCCTGTATTTATTTATGAGCACCAGTCAAGGTAAAAGATAACTGTCAAATGAAGTTGTCATTTCAGAAATTCACCTATTTAGTGCTTTATTATTATTGAAAACTCATTCCTACATCGGAAATCTTAAAGATGTATTTATAAATACAAATTAATATGAATTAAAGTAAAATAAAGTAATCAATTACAAGGTATTACTAGTATTATTACAATGTTCAATAACTTATTAATTTAGGTTTAGGATTTAAGAAGATGTTAATTAGGTTTAGGATTTAAGAAGATATTCCTCCATCGACTGCTAGACAATAACCCAGGCGATCATAAAATTCTCTTTTTACATTCGCTAGTTGGTAAACTGAAATTCTATTGCATTCGGCAGAAATATCATTTTTTAACTCGTCTAGATTTGGGTATTTTTTATCCTTGTATATCCTGTTTTTTAAATGTCCCCAGAGAAAGAAATCATTTGGCGAAATATCAGGAGACCTTGTTGGCCAATTTACTGTATGATTTAGGCCAATAACGTTTCCGTTAAAACTATTGTCTAAATATTCCCGAACAGCCAGGGTACTATGTGCCGGGCAGCCATCCATTTGGTACCAAACTTCCTGATTTTCCCTAGCGGCATCATGTAAAGCAGGTAAAATATGATTTTCGAGTAGTTCCAAATAATATTCCGCATTTAAATTTCGCGTAAAAAATAATGGCCCGATAATATTGTGTCCGAATATCCCTGCCCAAACATTTACTTTCTGTGGATATTGCGTCCTTGTTTCGACAAACCTGTGTTGGTTTTCTTTGTTCCAATATCGATAATTTTGAACATTGGGTTCATTATTTAAGGTAAACGTGCATTCGTCAGTGAAACATATGTTTTTTAAAAATTCCCTATCCGTGTTTGCTCTTTCCATCATATCAAAACAAAACGCCTGCCGCCGTATTTCGTCCCCATCTCGTAGCTCTTGGTGCTTTTCATATTTGAAGGAATAGTATTTATGTCGTTTCAAAATTCGAAACGCTGTAGTGTGATCTATTCCTATTTCATCCTCAAGTTTCCTTGTGCTGATCTTTCCATCGTTCTCTTCCACGCACAATAAAACTTCCAAGTCGGTATCATTTCTTGCATCTTCTCTTTGTTCCTGCCTTGCTTCACATCTGCAGTTATTTATTAGGGTACCTTTGGTCTCAAATCTCTGGATATTCCTTGCGATTGTAGATTTTCCAGGTATCGGTCTATTCGGATACAGAGCAGCAAACATGTCCGACACTTTTTGATAACTATTTCCTTGATAATACCATTTAATCATCAATACTTTTTCTTCGGTAGTGTAATTCATGGCTAATATTTTCTATGTAGGTATGAGTTTTTAATAATAATAATAAAGCACTAAATAGATAAATTTCTGAAATGACAATTTCATTTGACAGTTATCTTTTACCTTGACTGGTGCTCATAAATAAATACAGGGCCATAAGAAAGGTGAAATATTTAAAAAGAAATCGGCGATAACTCGTAAACGGGCTAATCAAAAATATCTAAAGTTATTCTTTTGAATGTGGGTTTTAGTGCTCTTCAATAAACGTAAACAGAATTATTCTCTAAAATAATTAGGGAAGCCAATAATTGACCCCATTAAAATTTACATGGGATTTCCTATGTCCCGCTCGACGATGCAACACCTGGTAATATTGTTTAATAATATAGTATTTTCTCTATTCGTACATAATAATCCAAGATCCCAGAGCGGTCTGACATAACTTATTTTCACAAGGATGAAACCTTAGGCTCTCAGTAGTGCTCTCATGTGCTTTGAATACCGGCGTGTTTGGGGAGTTCGCCCTGTGACACCTTGGCAGATGAGAGACCGGGTGAGAAAGATAACTAAAAATAAGAGTTACTTAACTTAAATTTGTATGGCTGATTTTTGTATAAATATTGTAGAATATTACTCTGAAGTAGTATCAAAAGTGTCAGACACTTTCCATGGACCTGAACTTTTATCAGACGATAGCAAATCAAACAATGGATCTTTGATAAAGATAGACTTTATCAAAAATCCACAAAAAATAAATGAACTTTACTTTTCTCTTTACCGTTTTTCAAGTAAGACCAAAATAACCAAGTTATTTTACTTTGAAAATTTAAACAAAAAATGCTTTTTTGCTTAAATTTTGAGAACCTCTGGATGTTTTCTGGATTTTCTTTCATGTAAATTTAATCTACTACCTATGTTGCCATATTATCGAGAAATTATGTTTTTTAACTTAAAAATAAAAAAAATTCCAAACATTTTTTCCAAAAATTCCAAATTTCTGCAAAAAAAACTCATAAGCGTGTTTCTGAGGCCGAAATATACTTCCAGTTAAAATACTTGCACTTATTTCTGGGACACCCTGTATATTAATAGATAAAATATGTTTTTTCGTTATGGTCATTTTGTTTTTGTGGATTCGGGCCGGTTGCCTGTTATTACCGGGCCGGTTTCCACTTCCCCATCCACCCCTGGTGGCGCCCTCTAAAAGTAAGAGTCATATTGACTTCAAAATCAAATTTCTAATGCCAAAAAACTGCCCGACATCATTTTTCTGATTTTTACATATGTTATTAAGACAGCTATGATAAAATTATATTTAATCAGTCAGGCAGATTGTAATGACCAAACATCCTCTAAATACAAAAATTATTCAGCCGTGACTATGAGCGTGGGAGAACTATGGGCATGCGTTTCCGAGTAAAGTACTTAAATATTTTAAAAATACTTACTTTATACTTGCTTTCGATTATTTTTGCATCTCTATTTTAATAAGATGAGCTTTTTTTTATTAAAGTAATAATTAATAATTATTAAAGTAAATTAATTTATTGCATAAAAACTACTCAAAACAATTATCGCATATTTTCTAAAAAAATATTAATTTGAAAAACAAGACACCTTGAATTCTCTGACTTGCGTTTTTAAATAGTTTGGATACTGTAAAGGGAAATGTTCGAAAATATGTCTGGGGGTAACATGCAATTTTTAGTCGACCGATTATTTAGTTGTAAAAGTGAACACAATACATACTGGAGCAGATCGGCCGACTATTATTTGATTGCATGTGAGCGCGGCTCACACAATCTGTCTAGACATGAATCTGCCGTGGGCCAGAATTGATAAAGAAAAAGCACATATTTTTGCAGAACACCTCGCGAAAGTATTCTCACCGCATAACAATGACTTAAATCATGAAATAGAGAGAAGTGTGTCAGTTGTCCCATTAAACATATCAGCAATCAAGTTTTTAACAGTTAAAGAAATTCAGCACGAAGTTAACAACCTAAACCCTTGTAAGGCACCAGGAGTGGATAAGATAACGTCAAAAATGTTAAAAGAACTACCAAGGAAGGGCTTAGTACTTATCACAAAAACACGGTAAAGATTTAAACAGAGTCTCCTCATATCGCCCTATTAGCTTACTACCATTAGTCTCCAAAATTCTTGAAAGACTGATACTTCGTAGAATCAATTCAGATCCAAAAACCGAAAACTGGATACCACATCACCAGTTTGGGTTTCGAGAAAGACATTCCACTATTCAGCAGATACATCGGATTACCAGCAATATAACTCAAACTCTTGAAGACAAAAAGTATTGCACGTCAGTGTTTCTTGATGTTAGTCAGGCTTTTCACAAAGTATGGCATACAGGACTACTTTACAAAATTAAAAATTATCTTCCCATGTCCTACTTTCCGATATTTAAATCCTACCTAAATGGTAGATTGTTTAGAGTCAGAATAGATTGGGATATATCTGATAATTATAGCATAAATGCAGGTGTCCCACAAGGTAGTGTCCTAGGACCACTACTCTATGTCCTTTTTACCGCAGACTTTCCCACACACACAATGAAACAACAACGGCTACTTTTGCGGAAACAGCTTCCTTGATATTACAAAGACATCTAAATGTAATAGAAGCATGGTTACGTGATTGGAAAATTAAAATTAATCCATCAAAATCGGCCCAATTAACTTTTACTTTAAATAGAGACCTGTGCCCTCCAGTATATTTAAACAAGACACTAATTCTGCAGTCTTCCTCTACCAAGTACTTAGGCATGCACTTGGATACTAAGCTTACCTGGAAAGAACACATAGTAAAGAAACGTAAGCAAATAGATTTAAAAATAAAAGACTTATATTGGCTAATGGGAAGAAGATCTAAACTATCGCTAGAGAATAAACTTCTTTTATACAAAACCATAATAATACCTATTTGGATATATGGAGCAGAACTCTGGGGATGCGCTAGTAAATCAAATATAGCCATAATACAAAGGAGCTAATCTAAAATTCTACGGATGATAACAGACGCACCATGGTATGTCTCCAATCATACTCTACAGGAAGACCTAAAAATTCCGTACGTCAAAGAAGTCATCCAAACTCGGAGTAAAAAACATTTCATTAGACTACATGATCACACCAATACCTTACTTCAGCCTCTACTTGAACCAGTACCTACAAGAAGACTTAAAAGACAATGGCCATCCGATTTGAAAGAATATTAAGGAGGATTTTTCACTGGAGAAGACCTCATCACGTTAACTGGGGCGTCATTGCTCTCAAGTCATTAAATTAGCCCATAGAATTTCCTTGCAAATATTCTGATTGCTAATAAATCATAATAAAAAAAAATTACAATCTGTCTGACTGATTAAATATA